ATATAATTATAATGAAAAGAAAAAACAATTTATTTTTGTGTTTATTGCATTTAAATTTAAATAGAATGCTGATATTAAAATATGTGAAATAGTTATTAATAATAATAAAAAATAAAATGTCATTTAAAAACTTTGCAGTACACGACAAATTCTATGATTATAAAGGATCATAATTTGTATTTCAAACATTTTTTTTTTCTGTAGGGCCTAAACCTAATACTGTGGCTTGTCATTGGATGATGATATGGCAAGAGAACGTTTCTGTGATTGTCATACTGACTAATCTTATAGAAGGAACCAAGGTAAGGGAAAAGCGGTTTGGACTTGCTCAGATATACTTCCTGTTATTGATTTCTTACTTCATATGTCCATTATAATTCAATATATATCTTTGAAAGAAAATACGAAGCTTCAGGGGTGCTAATTTTGTAACGAATGAAGACATTATACATGAATAAATGATTTTTGATAATAATAACAATAAAATAATATCAATGTTATTGCAACTTCACTGAAAAAATGTCAGATTCATAAATAAAGCTGAAGTATTTAACAATTACCATCTATTACCATATATAAAATAAACATTTACATTGAAAAAGAGAGAAGTATAAAGCCATTCTACATGGTTATAGTAATAACAAACACACAATGCACTTCACTTCTTCTTCACATACTAGTAGTAATAAAATAGATATTTGTTATTCTATCAAATTAACTGGATTTTTCTTTCAGAAAAAATGCGAGAAATACTGGCCTGACTTAGACATGGAAATGGTCTCTGGTAAAATTAAATTACAACTTCTTCAGGAAAAAGTATATGCAAACTATGTTGTGAGAAGATTGAAAGTAAATAATTCAGAGGTAACTGAAATAAGTTGCTCTTTTTAATGTTATTGAGATGTTTCTTTCGTAAGCAGTTTAACAATAGATGAATGATTGCATTGTATCAGTTTTGTAAAACTAACGTGTATCATAATAGCATTTTTTAAATGTCACAGAGTACTTAGAATCAATAATGATAAAGCTTTTCTAGAGACTCTCCTTGATTTTTTTTTTTACTTTATTTATAGATAAAACAATTTAGGTTAGGGCGATGAAGCAGTACTTGTTCATACCAATGACATCTACGTATATAATGATGTTCCTGTTTGTATCTAAAGATATCCGGATATCTGATGATTCATATTTTTTTAATGATACACCTAGTGAATGACACATTTATATTGTCTTAAAACTGCGTATACATAAAAAGTAAACTACGTTATAATCAAGGAGATGTAATTGCTATGCACTGATGAAAAAATATTTACAATGTAGTAGGCTTAATGAATATTTTATTTTGGAGGCTTTGTAAAAAGTAATAAATTGTACAGTGATTATAGCTCTTTACATTAACCTATAAAGATCTTTCGTCAAAATATTCTCAATAATTCAAAGTGTTATCCTTTATTGTTATTCACCCATATAAACTCGGCCGTATTGGTTGCATCTGTTTGTTGGTCGGTATATTCATGTCAGTTGGTCAGTAGACCAAGAGTTGTCCAATCAATATCTTGAGAAAGCTTTGCTTGCAATTGACGGTACACTTCCAGGGTATTGAATTTTGCTTTGCACTAATTACTGTTACACTAACGTTTTGCACGTTGCATTTCAATAGTTAAAATCATCCTGTACCCGTATTGTGACCCAGTTTCATTACACCCAGTGGCCAGATCATGGTGTGCCTGATCCATTAAGTTTGGCCGTCTTCCAGAAACACGTGAGGAGAATCCAAAACGAACACAAAAACAACCCTCTTCTTGTTCACTGCAGGTCATTATTTTTAATTTTTTTTTTTTTTTTTTTCTCTTTCAAAAGTAAAAATAATTTATAAGTAAGAGTCCTTTTGCTTTACGTTTTTTAATATCTCAATAAGACTATGAGTGCATTTTCACGTTTGTACCATAAGCAGCTTGTTGAGTCGGTCAGTCACATCATTCGTTTAAAGTTTAAAGGAAATATGAAGAAGTATTCAAGGGAAATCATTTTATATTTGAAATTGCTGGATAAAAAAATGTCTCCTGCGTTGGCAAAATCAATATGATAACCTTCAAGAAATTCCAGATTTCTACATAGTAAAGTTTCAACAATGAAGTAATTCCATGTCAATCTAGAATTTTTCCTTCGATATTGTGCTGGGGGGGGGGGTCAATTTCTTTTTAAAAATTATTTTGATTTCTTCCTCAGTTAAGATGGGATAAAAATAAATATGTGTTCTGAATAAATAAGGTTCAAGCTTTCGTTGTTTGTTTGTTACATCTTGAGCTCTTTGTGAGCATTTTTAAGGCGTCCTTATATGAGTAAAAAATTATCGAAGGATGTAAAGCAAACTAACAATTAATCAAAAGAGCTTCAACTGAACCCTTTTCAATTTAAACTTGTGAAATATTTTTTTTTTTCTGATTCTCTGGAGAGAGTTTTAATTTTTTTTTTTTAACCCCTTTCTCCCACCGAGTTCCAGTGTTACAAAAATACAAATTTTATGCCGGAGGTTTAAATTACAAAATAATGGCTGTTAAGGTTTGGATAGGGGTATGATAGAAAAAAAAACATAATAAAGAAAAGTTTGGTAGGGGGGTATGCATTAAATTCATGTGTACTCACACAATAACCCCAAGGCTTTAGCTAATGGAAAGGATTTATAAATTTACATTAAGAAATATAAGGTGAAGATTTTAAAAAGAATATTAATGCCTTTATGCGTTTCTTATATTCTTATCTTTCATAGAAGCAATCGTATTGCATATGATTTTTTTAGCAGTGCATTAACTATAGGAAGATTTCCTTGTTCACTTTTTCAATCTGTATCAAATTTATTTATATTTTATTCTTAGTGCCGGGATAGGGCGAACAGGTACTTTTATAGCGTTGGACGCTTTGTATCAACACGGCCTGGAAACAGGGGCCGTCAATGTACAGAAATATGTCAAAATGATGAGGAAAGACAGAATGAGTATGATACAGAATTGTGTAAGTATCTAATTAAGAAGACTACTTATTGAATTTTATTCATTTTTCAGTTTACAAAAGCTACTATACTATTCAAATATGCTGGATAAGTAAAGATGGTGTAATTACTTTTTTCTCTTTGATTGACTATAGAGGATATACTAGAACTTCCTTTTGACTTAATCTGGTTTAATTTGATAAAATTTGTCAGAGGTTTTTAATTAATTTTCATAGCATATATTCTGAGTTTATAGCTCATGTATGATCAATTGAAATTATTCCGTATATAATGCTTTTAATGAGCAAATATATAGTAAATAATATGGTTACGTATAGATGAGTCAATTTAAGTTTCCTATTAAGATTTTAGGGATATATTATTTGTATCTTTCATTTTATTTAATTTTTGTATTTTATCATTTTTTTTAATTTAATATTATTTTTTCTTATTTTTAGGAGCAATACATTGAACTGCACAATGCTCTCCTGGAATCCTTCAAAGGTGGAAGTTATGTTTTATCGAAGAATAGTCTTATGAATGATTTTAGAGAATTAAGTAAATCAGACGAGTCTGTTCTTACCAGGATACAGTCAGAATTTGAGGTAGACCATTGAAATACATTGTTTCCATTTAAAATCAAGTAAGTGTGTTTCTCGCGATCGATGTTACATGGAGATTTAAGAGATTAAGTACTTTGTATATAACGAGCTGACGTTTTTATCTGGCAAGATTTAAGACCGAGTTCATGTTTGATAAAGAATGAAACCTAACCTGCAAATTCATCTTAAATGCATTTCACTGTCAAAAGTCTATAATTATAACTTTTCATTGATGTATGCTAATCTCTCTCTCTTTTTTTTTTTTTTTTTTTTTTTTTGATTGAAATTACTTTATTTATTAATCAGATACATTTTAAGATAATGAAATTTAATGTTTATATGTTAATAAATAAGTGTTAAAGATTTTGTTACTGAGAAACCTATTCAAGTATTAAAAAGTTTAATTTCCATTTACAATGTGCTTTTTCATATTGTATATGTATACAAGATGATGTTTCTCACTGATTTTAGAAGCTGCAGTCAATTAAAACATTCTACAGTGTTGATGATAAGAAAGAGGGATCAAAATACAAAGAGCTTAACATGACAAGGAATATATTACCAGGTAGTTCTGTTGAAAGCAGGTTTCTTTTTAATGTAGTTTACCTTTGTAAGACAGGTACAGCAACCGCATTTATTATACTCCCCGCTTTTAAGAGATACTTTATAGTGATGGGGATATCGGTCTTTGACCCTCCGTACGTCCGTCAAACTTTGGGGTACAATCTCTTACCTGCAACTCCTCCTACTGCATAAAATTTGATCATTTAATTCATAAAATCTTTATTACATAGTGCCCGTTTGCACCTCTTATTGTATTTTTCAATCGGAGAGATATTTGGGGTTTCCCATAGCAAAACCTGGACACTGCCATTATTTCTATGATATTTGTGGTACCCATCTCTTTTCTGCCACGCCTTCTGTACCACTGAAAAAGATTTAATAAAACTTTCACAGATTTTTTTTTTTTTTTACAGAGTGCCATTGTGCACCTCCTATTTAATGTTTTGATCGGACAGATATCTATGGCTTCCTTAATAAAACATTGACTTCATTTTCATATGGAAGCAAGGAGTATCATTTTGTGAGCTCAGTGCTCACAGCATCTCTCGTTAATATGAATATGATCTTTTTTAATTTTTTAATTCGAGAAAATTTTCCCCAGACGTGTTTTACCTTCTCACAAATGGCTCTTGTACAAATTTATTGTAGATGTCCAGTTTGAAACATCATACACAATTTGTCATTTATTTATAATTATCTTTATATAAAGTGATTAAGAATCAAATCTGATCTAATTTCATAATGTCTCTCTTTAGTCTTTTGCTATTATTAACTAAATTTTCATCTAGACGAACGATAATTTTTACACGCATCATACTTATGTATTTATCATGTCTTGATTTCAGTGGATAAATATCGGGCAATACTTATGTCAAATGTATTGGGAAGGAGTAATTATTACAATGCAGTGTTCTTGTCAGTAAGTGTATAAAAGGATATCTATATCAAATTCTATAAAATATTTATCTATCAATTGCCTTTATTTATTTATATTATGTGATGCTAAACCCAATTAAAAATATCTTGTGTATTCTTTTTTTTTTTTTTTTTTTGTTGATTTTTTTTCTTATTGTATTCATGATCTATGCCTCTTATTTTTGTTAACAATTCAAGATTATTAGCAGTGATTTTTTTTTTTTCAAATCTTTTATAACAGACATTCACAGATAGGAATATGCTTATTGCCGGCCAGTATCCCCTGTCTGGTAATTCTGTAGACCTGATCCGTCTTTTACTCGATCATGAATCCAGCATCGTGGTATTTGTAAATCGTCTTTCAGATGTTCCATCGGTAAGAGTTGTATACATGTAAATAAATTTTAAATTTATTTAAAAGATTTTTTGGACATTGAAATGAACTTTTGTGATGCTATAATTCCTTTTGCTTAAGGGAGAACAAATGTTTGATTCTACTCATTTAATTATATCGAAAGACTCTTATTTTTTTGGAAACTAAGTATTGCATAATAAGAATTATCTGCATCAAAAATTAATTACATGTAACAGATGTGGCAAAGCGCAATATATGTGACTGTGATGTTTATGTTATCAAGAGAAAGAAGTAAGGCTAATGTAATTTTCCGTAGTGTTACAATATTGCTATGACGGCAGATAAAAAGAAATTATGAGGACAAAGATAAATTCCATAAAAGGATGAAATGAGTTGAACTTACATAATCAATTGTACATAATCTGAAATTATGTACAATAATTTTTTTTTTGAATAATCTGAAATTCAACTCTTTGGAGTTCAAATTATATGTAGGTATTTTGTACTGGTAGACATATCATGAAATTTTTGACACTGGCTTGGATTTCGTTTTCTAACTAATAAAAAATATTTCAACAGTCAAGTGAATGGTTCTCGGAGAAGACAACAACATTACATCCATACGAAATAATTAGAAAAGACACGTCCAATGTTACCCAGACCATACGAATACATGATCTTAAAATTCGTCATTTAGAAGTAAGCTGCTCGATTGGATATTTAAAATAATTTTGAATTGAACGATCCGTTGTATATCTTCTCAAGGAAAAGCTTGTATTGAAATTTTTCTGATGTTTTCTCACATTTAATAAGATTCATTTCTCTTCTCAGGAAGACACCTGCCATGCAATTCATCTCTTTGAAATAATGTCCTGGAGAATTATAGACGCTTTGCCATCTGACGTCAAAACTCTATCTGACGTCATAAGACATATTCAGATGGATGTTGCAAGTCAGTCTACCAAAACACCCATTACTATTTTGTCCAAGTAAGCGTCCCGTTTTTCTCTTCAATCGAACATACGCCATGTATATTAAGTCGTATAAAGCAATAAAAGTAATATCTATATACATGTAAGAGAAAGAGAGAGAGAGAGAGATACCTTAAAAAAATAACTGTTACATTTATCTGAACGTAAAAGATTTCCTATCAAGCATTTAACACTAGATTTATTTGGTTAGCAAGCTGGGTGTAAATTTCGTGCACCTGCCTTGATTTGGAGGTAAAAGAATAGTTCCTCGATCACAAATCAAATAACATGACATCATGATACATTATAGAACGTAGTAAAACTTATCGACGGTTTGAAGCACCATTCATAAGACTTGGGTTTACAAAGAATTTATTTTTGTCACCTTAATTTGCCTTATTCCATCTCAAAAGTATGCTCTGCGTACGATCAACTTTTAAACGAAGGCAGGTTACTATAGATAATTTGGTGTTATAGAGATTTCAACAACCGCGTTCAAAGTCAGCATTTCGTAAATTCTATGGTCGCTATAATGACCTTGTCAATAAATCTAATCTATGTTTTGGTCTTATTTTGACAGTTATATTTTATACTAATTGTAAGGCATATGCTTTATACTTAATTTGACTACGGAGTATTCTGCCTACCTGATCAATACAGAGGGAGCACGGTGGGTACGACCGGTTGAATGCTTCCTCCTAGGCAACTGATCCACCCTCTGGAATTTCCGGAGGTCCATGTTTTATGCCCTGTTCACAGATTTGTATTGTTTGTAGACTGTTTTGAGATCGACCACTACCACTGCTCGTTATTTTCACCTTTTCATTTGGTTATATAGGAAATAGTTTCGTTATCCAGGTCCAATCAAAGGTGAAGGGGGATTTGTGAAATACAACCCGGGGTAAATTCCCGTACACCCTTGACTGAACCTGGAAAACTAATAATTACAATGTACATAGTAAACACACATAGATAGGACGACTTGTTTAAACCATTTTAACCAGTTTAGATGTGCTTAAATAATTTTATGAAATAACATGATTTACATGTCAAAAACAACTCCTTATAAGAAAAGTTTTGTTTTTCATTAAAACAACTAAGTAAAAACTGTCACAATTCATCTGTACAAATGGGATTTTAGGATTATTTTAGCTCTTTTACAACAGCAGAATTGCTTACTTAAAATATCATAAATATCAAAAATTCTTCTATGTCAGGGTAACCGTGGGTCATGGTCAGTTTGTTTTTCTTTTTAATTCATTCATTTGGCATGTCATTGCAATTGTGCTCAAAAACTTGAATTTCTGGAATTTATTGAAAATCCTACCACTATCACAATTATGCTGACCTGGAATAAAAGTCTTAAATAAAAATTATATATCATGCTTTGGAAAACGTATGATACACGTTATTTTTTCTTTCTAAACGACTTCGTTTTCTAACAATACCTGTTTGTAATTTAGTTTGTCGGAGATTGAAATTCTTCTGCTTACAGTTTTATATATATTTTCCTTGCCTTCTTATTATATTTTAAAATAAAGTTTTGCTTAATCATAACAGAGATGGTGCAACTGGTTGCGGGGTGTTGTGTGGTGTTTATAACGCGGTGCAACAACTTCAACAAGATGATGTGGTTGATATGTTTTCAATTGTCAGGCAGCTACAGATACGGCGACCGGAAATGATTTCTACATTAGTAAGTTCTGTAATCAAATTCTTTGTTACATAGAATATTTTTTTAAAAAAAATGGAATGAAAACATCGGAAATGATGTGTCTAAGCTTAGAAAATTCAAAACCAAATCGCTTTCTGATCGATTGTGTTCGTGGTTCTTCAGAACATGTTTGCTTGCGCGTTTGTCTCTAATAGGCAATAGTGTGCTTAAGGGCAAAGACTGTGCAGAAGGGCCACTCTCTTAGGAATATAAGCAGAAAATGGGAAGCATTTGGTATTCTTATCTAATCTTCTGAAGACCCACTCTGTCAAATAGAGCAAAATTGCTTAAAAGGCCTTTTTATGTTGAATGCTTTTGGATTACTCAGGATTACTCAAATCATGGTTCGACGAATGAGGATGAAAACATAAGAGAGGTTCACGACCGTCTTCTTCAAATTAAGGCATCCACAATCAACAAAATTGATTTTGGTTCAATCAAACTTTGGTCACAAATTTTATATTTTCGAGAAAAATATGTAACTTAATGTCTCAATCCACTCCTTTCACATTATTGTCGTATTTTAAATGTATAAAACTACAATTTCACTTTCCTTTTATTTTAGGAGGAATACCAGTTTTGCTTCAGAGCTGCTTCGAATATATTGTCAGAGAATTCTACCGACGCTTACAGCCACGCAGAAAGTGTATACGCAAATACTTAGGTTTACCACTCATTTCAAAACTTGTGGTACATTCTATTGAGTAAAGAAAAGGAATGGACAAGTTTCATCTTTCAATTTTGATTTTTAAATAAACAATAATTTGTGTTAAAGATCATCATATCTCTCTGTTGAATGATATAAATATTGCTTTTACAGTGATCACGTTCCAAAAGAAATCTAGTTTGTAGTTTGTAACAAAAATGCACAAAATTTCAGCATATCCTGCGAGACATAATTTATCAGAAATGGCCTTTTCTACTTGACAATCTTTTAAGGGAATTATAATAGTTATTTATCTCAGTAAGAGGTATCTGTTTTATAAACCCAAGGAATTATTCTTCGTTAAGAGTCCAAAGTTTTTTGTATCTTTGTTTTTACACAATCTATTTTAAATGATACTCATTTAGAGAAGAGCACATAATAGAGTCTTCATTCACGAAGAAGAAATTAAAGTGGACGATACTCAAAGGTCAATGTTATGTGTATAACATAAAAATCTACAAAAGGACAATTATATATCACTTTCCAATTTGTAAGTTATTAGGAAGCTATACGGTTTACAAACCATTTTTATCTGTTTTACTACATAAACGTTATCATTACGAGGGGTGATCACAAAGTTCGCGAACTATCTCTATATTCACAAAACCACTATTCAGATCATAATGAAATTTGCCTCATATATAGTCACATATGATCATTCGACGTATTTGACTCTAGTCTTTGGCACCCTTTTCAGCTCTTCCAAGTCTTTTTTTTATTCAAATATTTTGGATTTCCAACGTTTCGGCTTGAGCATCACTGAAGAGATATAATTTGTGGAAATGCGCACCTTGTTGCATCAAATAATTGGTACCGTATATGATTTACATATAGTCATAAACATGTTTTATAAATAGCAGATTTAAGAAATGTTTTGCTCCATGTTTGTGACGTCACAATATGAAAATGACGTCAATATGTAGATGACTTGTGACAAAGAATGGTTGACTCAGTCGTACTTGAGCAATGAAAGGCTGTAAAGTTTAACGAATATCTTGGAAAGTGCTCCGCAGTAGCATATAATAATTTGCACAAGGTTTATGAAGACAAAAGACTTGCCAGAAGTTTAATCATTAATTGGATTGATTGTTTTAGTGACGGAAGAGAGATGGTTAAAAATTATGTTTGTTCTGGTGCTCAGTGAAAGTAAGCTGGGGAAAAGATGTGTCCTTAATCAAGCAATTTGTTATAAAAGGTCGCCAAGTTACAGCTAGAAATATAGTTGAGTATCTTAAGAATATTAAAATTATTAAATCCCTAAAATACCGTTTACTTTAGACTTTAAATATATCAGATATGATAAAAAGAAGGCGCTCATACGTTATCCACAATGGAAAATGACGCACCCAAGACAGAGAAGTCGGGTTGTTATGGTCACCATGCTCATTCTGGGAAAAGATATCTTTATCCAGCCATCCTATTGCCGAGATTTGGCCATTTGTGACAAATGGACTTTTCTTGTTTTAAAAAAATAACTTGCATGGTAATAAATATAAGATTCAAAAATTTTTTTAGCTTCTGTGAACAGAACGCTACGTAGTATGTCACCTGACCGCCTGGATCACGTGATCCGCGCATGGGCAGAACGATGGCAGATGTGCATTTTAATCGGAGAGGACTACTTAAAAAATAATAAACATCGAAATCGAATTTTATTTCTTTTATGGAAGTTATTCGATTAGTTCGCAAACTTTTTGATCACCCCTCTTAGTCAGCCATTTTGTTTCCTACAATCAACGGAGTTAAATTTTGTTGATTTTTTTTTTTTATTAAAAAAAAACATTATCTTTTTATTTTACGCCAAAATTTTTGTCATTTTTTATAAATTGTTTTTTACAGAGCATAAGCTTATTAAATAATGTTTACATTAATATTTTTTCTCTGTTTGTGGGTCACGTTTATTATTCATACACATTGCATAAAATATTCAATTAACTCATATAGTTGTATGTGTGTGTGTGTGTTTTTTTAATTAAAAAAAGGAATAAAATTTTGAATGTTTGTTTTCTTCATAAATTGATGTGTCAGATTTTTGTACATGTAAGAAGTATAAACGCCTTGGAAACGTTTAGCATGTATTTTATTAAAATGAAGGATGTTTCTATTTTATGGACTTTATATCTGATGAAACTAGAAATGTGTCCATAGGAAATGAAAACCCCGCCCAGGGTTCATTAGCAATGTAATATGAAAATTTTCATTAGTGTGTGAAGTTTGATGAAAATATCTTGAAAAGGTCCTTTAAAACCGAGTTTTATACACAATAAATAATAAAGATTATTGGAAAGGTAAACGTAAAGAAAAAGATTGGACGCATTTGTTGAATTTTCCCCAAATTACGCGTCAGCGCATACGGTAACATTAAAATATCTTGAATAGTTTCTCTGGAATTTAGGAACAGTGAAATCAAGGTCAATTGATTTTGATGTAATTCTATAGAACGCACAAAATGTATCAGCAAATAAAGTTTAATAGAAATATCTTGATTTGTTTCTTAAAACTGACGTAACACAAATTTGAGAAAAATGAAATCAAAGAAACGGTCGACAAAAAAAATAAAACGTTTAAATGCAATTGAATAACTTTCATCCACATGTAAAGCATTTGAAGCTTGATATCAATATCTTGAATAGAAACTTTGATAAACACTTAGAATAAAAGAGGTCAGTAAAAAACGAAAGGTCAAGATCAAAAATGTTGATGGAGTTGAATAGTCTCACCAATTTGTATCAGCAGGCGAGGTTTGATAAAAATATCTAAAATTATTTCGTTGAAACTAGGCCAAACACTAATTTCAGAAAAATGAAGTCAAAGTCAATAGTTTTTGTTTGAATAACTGTCATCTATGTGTACCAGCACATGAAGTTTAATAAAAATATCTTGAATATTTTCTTTGAAATTTAGCTAAACACGAAAAATAAGGTCAAGGTCAATGAAAAGGTCAAGGACAAAAATGTTGATGAAGTTAAATACCCCTCATTAATATGTATCAGCATACAAAGTTTGATAAAATATCTTGAAAAGTTTCTATGAAACTGAGCGAAACATTTTTTTTAAAACATCGAGGTCAGGGCCATAGGAAATATCATGGTCAAAAAGTGTTAATCCATTTGAAAACTCTCTTCAATACGTATCAGTATATGAAGTTTGATAAAAATATCTTGAATAGTTTCTTTGAAACTGAGATAATAGCAGTTTGAGGGAATGACTGAAGGACGGAAGGAAGATAGACATAACAAACATTATATGCCCCGGCCATATTCATGGCGGGGCATAAGAATTCGAAAAACAGAGTTAAAATACTAGTATCGGAATATGTTTTTCTTGTATGGTTTTATCTCGCTTGCATGGAATAATCTTTTTATTATTATTATTATTTTCTATTTATTTATTTGGGGGGGGGGGGGGTAAATTGTTTTCGATCGATCATTGTTCGTCATTTTTACTTTTTTTTTTTTCATTTTTAATAATATGCAATTTATTGTTTTTAAATATTTGATTAGGATTTTCATTACCTCATACAGGGAAGAGTCCCACCTGTCCACACCTTTTATGTTTTGCCCTGTTTGTAAGTGGGAAACTTCAATACAGGCGAATTAAACATAGGCATGTACTTATCTCTCTTTTTCTCAAAACCGTGTCTGGAGGAATTTAAAACTGAATGAAAATGTTTGCATGTGTGATGGGGCAACATTTTAAAATCCTTAAGTAACAAGAGCAATAAAGTGAAAGAGCTTGGACCATCTTTCACAAGTAATTTAGAAATACATGTACAGCTGTACATATACGAGGGTCATTAAAAATACGCGCATTTTTGTCTTTTTTTTTTCATTAAACGTCAGATTTTGACCAAAGGGCAAGGTGTGTTAGCGGCTGAATATGGCCCCTTATTTGATATAGAAAAAAAAAACAAATCACAGTTAAGGGTCCTCCACACACCCCCGCTTATGTTCTCAAATGATTGAGCATTACTTTTAACTAGCATATCAACCTTTAAAAACTGGCCAGGAATAGTAATATAATTTATACCGATTTTTTTTTTAAATTAATTTCATAAGGTTTAAGATATTTTTCCCATGATGTTTTCAAACGTAGCATAATCGTATATAATTAAGCTCACAAAATAACCACAAAAACTTAATTTTATCGATCTACATATTTTTTAAAGAAATTAATTTAAGCTATAAACAATAAATGAAACTCATTTCTCCAAAATACATCTAGAAAAATTTAAAGAAGACTCCTGATAGTACAGAAGAAACATTAATGAATTAAATTACAACAAGAAATTGAATTAAAATCCAAGTCACTGATGTAGACAAATTATTTTCAAAATCTTTGGTATCAAAGTTCCTTTTTAGAGTTATCTTTCCTGTTGCCCGGGACTCAAAAACTTTGGTAAGTCTCCGCATACGTCGTCATACTCAAGTTACTCATTATTGGCTACTGAACTGGACAGATAGAAATGAGCAAAACTAGAAATGCACACTATTTATCAATATTTATAAACACACAATGAGATAATTTATGTATTACTGAAACGCACAACTATCAACTTTCAACACAGACTTTGCTGACGATATGGCAATGGGTTTATTAGCCTTAAAGTATAAATAACATTAACCTTTTCTCGTTATACCGGTACCTGTTATTTAAGAATTATAATGCAACATAAACCCAAAGGTCCGTTGTCTTTTATTTAAACAAGAGGCCCAAGAGCCTTAACGGTCACCTGAGTACGATACAACAATTTAGAGGATCCATAAACTGATAAATGAAGCTTTGTTGCCCAAAAGCAAGAAAAATAGTATGAAAACCATCAACAAAATAATTGGTATAGAATCTATCGGTCCCCCATTTATCACAATTACCATGCAGACTATTAACAAAATGTCTATTTTTAACCCCCAGATTATAACTTCTCACATTGGTCTCTCTTGGACTTTGAACAACATTAAAAAAGATAAGTTATTTTTGCCTCTCTTTTATTCATCTATTATTTCCAAGTCTACCTGATCATTAAAACTATGAAAGTACTTTTTGTATTATACAATTAATATTCTTGCATAATTCTCTTATTCTATTAACCTTTCAAATACATTATTTACAGTGATTAATTATCAAAGGTAAATGGCAAAGGGGAATAACTTTGCTGAGCAGAATACAAGTTCATAGAGCCCTGGCCAGGACCAGAACACTTGACTAAATAATCCAGGTGTTCAAAATTCTGGTAAAAATACCCTTGCATATTAAAACTTTACTCTTTTTGCCTCGAATATGCCCAGAAGCATAGAAGATTTTCAAAGAAATGCATTTTCACTATATTATTAAATAAATAAAGCCCCCACCCCACCCCCCTTTACACCAGAACATCTTACCCAGGGGTCATAAACTCACAATTCTGGAAGAAGCACCTTGCTCATCATAACTATACACATGTTTCTTTGCTTTATTACCAGCAGTCGAAAAAAAACTTTGAAAGAAATTATGCATTTTCACTATATAATCAATAGAGCCCCCCCCCCCTTTCACCTGAACCCCTGACCCAGGAACCATGAATTTCACAATTTTGGAAGAGGCATTCTTCCTTATCATAACCATGCACTTCCTTTGTTTGAATAATACCCTGGATCAGAGAAGAAGCTTTTGAAAGAATTTATGCATTTTTCCTATATTATCAATAGAGACCCGCCCTATCACAAAAACACTTCACCCAGGGGCCACAAAATTCACAATTTTGAGGAGGCAGCCATGCTCATCATAACTATGTACTTAGTTAATTTAATATCCAGGAGAGAGAAGAAGATTTTCAAAGAAATAATGCATTTTCACTATATAATCAATTGAGCCCCACCCTAACACCAGAACCCCTAACCCAGGGACCATGAAATACACAAGTTTGGAAAAGGCAACCATGCTGTGACTCAGGTGACCTAAAAAATGGAAATATTTTTCTGTCGGTCACTCCGTGATCATGCCATGTTTACATTGTTTATGATTAGGGTGTTGTTCTCAGTTTACTGCATACTTTTCCCTTGTCAAAACCTTTATCTCTAAAGCGTTTCAAAGACTCTCTTACAGGCGGTGCCAGGCAAATCGTCAGTGCACAAACTATATAAAACTGGAAGTAATAGTATTTTTTCTCGATATACGACACAAGTTACGGGGTGTGGAGGACCCTTAAAATTGTGATAGTTTACAGTCAGTAACTATAAATGATGCTTGTTTTAAAAACAGCATTAATTTTCATTCAAAGCATTCATGGAGGTTCCAGGAGGGTGACAAATTTAAACATTTTAACCCATATTTTTATTTTTGATGGAATTTCGTCAAATTTGATATACTTTTCAGTTTGGTAAACTTAGAGCACAAGTTGCCTTTCTTTGATTTTTATGCACAAGATATATATGATACTAGTGCATGACATATATGAAATTGGTAGATAGCCAAGCTTGTGCTCTGTGTTTTCTGAAACAAAATGTTGTCTAAAGTAGATGATAAATAGACTAAAACTGAGAAAATTCGGAAATTGATGCATTTTGTGACCTTCATGTGACTCTGTGTATCATTTAGAATCAATTCTTTTTTTACAACAGAAATAACACGAGTTTTTTTTTTTTTACCATGAAATATTGCACCGATCTAAGAGACTCTCAATCCAAGGGCCAACCATGTCCTTTGGTAGACATATTTTAAAAATAAATCTGAACAATTTGAATTTAAAAAAAATAAATATATCACAATGAATACAAATATAGCTGCGAAAATGGGGTCACCGAGCACGTCAGAATTTAGTGATATACTAACAATACATTACATGATGTATATTGTCTTTGTGAAATCGCGCTAAAAATGATTTGAATTTATATATTGCTTCGTCGTACAGGCATCATTTGCAGAGAACAGGAAGACCTCATTGAAAAGGGCAAGAAAGGTGACTTGCAGGACGTCACGGAGCAGCGAATGGCAATTACAA